TTATCCGCAAATGTTTGAAAATTTAGACATTTTCCCAAAGATTTGGTGACCATAAACATGGGCCTAAGAAATATATACACGCAAATGTTGTAATGGGATCGAGATAGCCCGCATTTTGACCCAACCGATAACCGATCTCATATTTCCAACCAGAGGGAGTACCAAGATTGAACCAACGGGGTGTAACTCTTTCTCTCTGGCCCGTGATGCTGACTTGTAGTCTCAGTTGTTCCCTCGCATAGCGCGAAGAGGGAGCGGAGGACTCCAGAATATCTTTCGTTGATTTCCATTGACTTGCTGGCCCCTCGGGGCCAGTTTATTTGAGTGCGCCTTTTTAGGATAAGTTAGCCTGTGACCACGGGAATCCACCGCGTCGAGTGTTCGATCAGTACGGGCATATGAACGTACTGGGTAGAGAGAGATCGGAACGGTTCACAACAACAACAATAACAACAACAACAACAGCAACCGTAACGGCGCAAACGGCGCAACGGCGCACTGAACTCCGGGGATATGCAGATAGCAGTATTTTTCGCATTACACAGACCCCTACTTTTCCCCGTGGTCCGATTTGCGGTGCCGCTCTTAGTGTTGCCGTTGCTCATCAGCGTGATTGCAGTGCTCCCTTGTGTGTTGCCTGTCGCCCACGACCCGCACGAGCGCAAACATGGACGTAGGACGAGGAGGTAGTTCTCCTCTAGGGGCACGACCTCCCCCCAAACGAACCTACGGCTCCAAGCAAGGGTCGAGACGACTTTTCGGCACGAACCATCGAACAACAACAGGAGTCGGTAAGTCATCAGTGGGATCACAGCAAGACTCCAGCAGGAGCACTCCGCATGCGGAGCTTGAGAACGGCCGCCTCAATGCTGGCGAGTCTTGCAGAGGTAGTGGGCTGATGCCGCAGCAGTCGGTGGTGCGTTTCGGTGGTGCTGTCGGAAGCGGTGCCCGTTCGGCTGAGGACATATTGCGGCTTATCCGTACTGCTGGCGAGGGGGGAGAGGGCGGGCGAACGTCCGCAATCACGCTGGCACAGGCGTGCAAGTCCCGAGAGACCCGTAAGGCTATGCTCTCCAACGCCGGCGACATCCTGAGCGAGCTAGCGAGCGTCATGTTGGCATCTCTGCAAGCCGGCAGAGGAGACAAGCTCCACGACAAAGCCACCGTGCACGGGCTCGCCGTCACGATGTTCGTCCTCTCCAAGGATCGAGCCATGGCGAAGGCCTTCTCCGCTTCCGCGGTGTCGACACTCGCAGTCCTCATCGAAGGCAATGGACGTCAGGAAGATCCGCTTGGCACTTGCGCTGCTGCTGCTGCTGCTGCTGCTTCTGCGGCTAGGACATCGAACGTTCAGGTATCTGCTGCAGGAGGCCGACGACCGAAGCGTGCATCTCTAATGGATACCATGGGAACGATCTATGAGCACCGGAGCAGAAGCGTCGAGAGCAACGGACACAAGGGCGCCTGTCCCTTCGACATGAGCGACGAGGACGAGGACAACGACGAGGGAGACGCGCCGGGTAGGGTCGGTGGTGGGTTCAGAATTGTCGGTACGGAATCGAGTGGGGCTGGCCCAGCTGAGAGTGGCAGGCGGTTGTTCCCCGCAAATGGCGGCGCAACCTTCTGCAACGCACCCAACCGCCGAACCTCGCCGTGCGCCCAACCAAACGATCATGGTTCGGCGAACGCGATGTTGCGCGCCCGCATGCTCCTAGACATTGCGGACATTGTACCCTGGGGCATGGCCAACAGGCATTTAGTATCAGCGGCGGACCTGGGCTTGGCCACTCTTCTCAATGTAGCCGCCCAGGCTTGTTCGGAGAGCGTGGAGGGGGGCGGGGGGGTAGTAGCGGCAGACGGCGCCGCCGGCGGAGAGTCCGTGGACGAAGAATTCAGCACCCAAGGTTCGATGGGCGGCCAATCTAAGCCCGGCAACGTAATCGGGGCGCTGGCGAACGGGCAAGCGAACGGAAGCGACGCCTCTTCCGCGAACGCCGGCGTCGTGCCGGAGCTCAGCCGCTTGGCGCCGACGGGATTCCTGCTGCCTGTCGTGGTCGGCGCGACGGCCGTCTTGGCGGATCTATCGGTAGCCTCCTTGAGATCGCTGCACCAGCTTCTCTTGGCGTTGCGCTTGCTGGACCTGGCCACTTTGGAAAGCTCCGGCGAAGGGGACGGAGCCGCGGCCAAGGCGACGGCGGGGGCGGCAACCCCCCCCCTGGAATCTCCTTCCCATCCCTACGCGGAGCTCACCGGCGCGCTCTTGCTCGTAGTCGCCGAGTGTCAACCTTTCTGTAGCGACGGCGTGCCCGCACGTCATCATTGGAAAGGAAAAGCTCCGGATCGGGTGTTCGGGGACGGGGTCAACGAGCAGCAGATGGGCTCTCGGCAGCCCGTGGTGGGGAACGAAGTCGCCGCCAAGGTGCACGAGTGCTTACTCGCGGCCCTACGCGTTCTGATCAACGTCACCCACCACGACCCGAGGGTCTGCGCGGAGGTGGCTGCGAGGAGGGGTCTCGAGACGCTCATGCGGTGCCTTGCACACAGCTGTTGTGGGAGCCAGGGGGGCGACAGCGATGGCAGCAGCCGTGGAGCGTTGGTTGCTCGTGCTAAGTCGGACGTGGACCTACTGGGGGACGTGGTGAATGAAGCTAATGAGACTACACCGGAGACTGGTTTGGAAGAAGACGGGAGCGGCGGGGAAGCTGGCTCTGGAGCGGGAGACTTCGACACTCAGGTTAGGTTTCGTACCACCAGCTGGTCGGGTCGTTTTTCGGCAAGCAAGCAGGCGATGCTGTTTGCTTTTTCATCTCGGCTTCTTGTTGGCCTCGGGAATCACTTCTCGTTTTTAACGTTTTTTGTTGTCGTATCGTACTCTGGTGTCAAGAGATCTCGGTCACCGGTGTACGTACTGTTTTCGCTCTCACTGCACTGAACATGAGATTTGCGAGAGTCTATATCTAAACAGGCGCCCGATTTGCGCTTCCTTTCGTGCCGAGCCTCACGAAAAAGGGCCTCTTTGCCCGGGTCCTGCCATTGCTCTCGTTATACAACACGTGTGATCCCCAGGTATTAGCTATGAGCGCGTTGATAAATTGCGTTGAGCTCAAGGAGAGCGCCGACAACTGCGCCGCCATGGCCAGCCTAGCGGTTCACCCGCCCTATGCTTGGGCGGCAGGCGGGAAGACATTTGCAGGAGGCAGTAAGAAACAATGGCGGCCGCTTCCTGGCGTTGGGGATTGCCGGTGCCTCGCTCCAGAGTTTCTGGCAAAGCTTCTCACCCTCTACACACGGGATTTCGCCCACCAGCTTGAGACCGGCCGACCAGGGGGGAACGACGACGATGAGAGGCCAGTATCACGCCCCCCTTCGGGGACAGCACAACATGGGGGGGGCGTCATCGCCGGCGGGTCGTCAGCTACTGCCCCTGCTACTCGTTCGATTCCCTCTCCTGTTGCGGTGACGCCGCAGAAGGGGGACAACGGGGAGCAGTCCATGAGCCACGCGGAAGGCACGGACCTCGTGCTCGGAGGGCACTGCGCTCTTTTGCTGGGACTGCTTGTTCGAGACCAAGAAAGAAACAGGTGCGGCAGGAAAGGGCAACGAGGAAGAGAGGACCTGCTAGCTAGAAGGGCCTAGCGCTGGTGTTGCCCTATGCATAGCATGGTTTTTTTTTCTCTCTGGCTCGTCACCAAGCCATGCAGCAGCAGCGCTGAAGGCGCACCTCGACCTTTGCTTCCGTTGCATTCGCCCACCCACGGCTTGACGAATGCGCCCAAATCTATCAACTCGGAATTTTCAGGCGGTTGGCCTTGCCCGTGCTTCCCAACGGGGATCCGACGCTGATTGTCCGTGTGTTGGAGGCGTTCATGGCGCTGCAGTTCCAGGCGGGCGTGCTAACTGAAGAGTTGGTGTTGGCGGTGCAGGGGCTAGTGGAGGTGAGTACCTTGTGTACTAGTGCACTACACCGCAGCCCGTGGTTTGCCCTGTATATTCTGCCTTACCGAGGCGGGTGTGCTAAAGGTTTGGGTCCAATGAGATCCGTGCATGACGCCGAACGTTTTGCGCTGATCAGGCACGACTCAGCCTATTGCCTTTGGTTGATTTACCCCTGATTTTGCTGTTGAATTTTGAATGGTTCTCACGTGTTGCAGAATACCGAACAAGCAGCCTTCTAGCTTCTTTCGATGACGCGCCACTCTGCTGTGTAGACTTGGCAGCCTTCGCCAAGAGACACCCGGTAGGGCTTCTGCGGTCGAGTTCCAGAATCCTCATGCTGGAACATGCTCGAAATGCTCTGTCCCATAGAGTCCCATAGCCTCGGCTCCACACCGCGTCTCGTCTCCACGCTGAACTCCCTTAGGAACTAGAGGGGCTAGACGCGCTTCCGGCGGAAGAGGGCGACCCGTTTGAGCCAGTGGCCGACGAGGGACCCGCTTCTGTGGCCACCTGCCCTGCTGCTGCTGCTTCTGTGAGCGCTGCCGCAACCACGCCACAACAACGTGGCCAAAAAAGACCTAGAGGTCCGTCATCAAGCAGAGAACTGCCGCCGGTTGAAGGGAGCTTGGCGACCCTGCGATCGGGGCTGTCGGGAATGGAAGCTGGAGGTGGAGACGACGGCAATGCGAATGGAATTTCGTTGTCGGTGAAAAGTTCCCAGGCGGAGGCGCAAGAAAAGAGCGCATCGTCGTTGTGGATGGCTCAGGTTAGTGATGGCTTATATCTTTACCAAGTAACGCTTTTTGCCGCGCAGTCCCGGAGCACGCCCTTCGGTGCGGCCGCAAGAGTTAGCTGCTTGCGTCACCCGCACGAGTCCACTTCCGTACAATATAAGTCTTGTACGGTGAACCCATGCCATCCCTCCCTCCCTCCCGTGGGCGACCAAACTGCCAGTCACCTTCTTTGGACGGAACCCCGCCTCCGAAACGTTCGAAGCCGTCGGAGCCGTCCTCGTCCTCACCCCCGCCAGCTGCTGCGTCTGAAGAGGAGCGACAGGCCACAGCAACGCCCAAGAAAAGCTCCAGCACCACCAGCGATTCGGCTGAAACACCGGCATCTCGCAGCCAAACCCCGGGATCAACCAAAAAGTCGCCGTCATCGTGGCGAGCCGGGATCACGTCTATTGCGGAGCGGATAGGGTTGGGGTTCCGGGGTAGGAGCCCGGCGGGAAGTAAGAGCTGGTTCGGCAGCGGGACAAAGCTACAAAGTTTCCGCAATCGAAGTGCCTACGGGAGCCAAACGTGGAGAAAGGCGTCCTCCCGGTCTCTGGCTGGGTCGTCGCACTCACCGCCTTCGTACGGCCAGCCGGGAGAGGGAGCAGCCGCGGGGCCAATAGCGGGACGGGGGGGAAAGCCAAGTCGCAATGTCTTCGAATTCTTGTCTGACGAGTCTGAGGTCGATCTCCAAGACGTTTCGCCTGTTGGTGGTGCGGCGAGCGGCGTCAAGGGAGGCGGGGTAGGGCCCACAAGCGACCGCAGTGGCGCGATGGAGGCAACTGTCAGTGGTGGCGCGAACAGCGTTACGGGGGGAGGGGTGGGGTCAAGAAACGGTCGGAGCAGCAATCTGGCGACAACTTCCCCGAATTTCGATATCGAAAATTGGTCGGACTCGTCCAACGAAAGCCCCGGGCAGCGCAAGCCTGGAGAAGAAGCGAAGGCGAAAGGGGCACGCGTCGCCACGTGCCAGTTGCAGGTGCTAGGGGCCAGCCGGGGGAGCGCCAGGGTTTGCGGTGCTCGTGGCGGCGGCGTTAGTGGCGGTGGAAGTAAGGCGCGACATGTATTCGACAGGCGTAGGAGACGCTCCCCTAGCCCAAGCCCACCTCCCGCAGCCGCACCTGCGGCAGGGAGGAATCACATTGCGTCCAGAGGAGCCGCGGCTCCCAGCGGCTTGCCTGGCGTGGCAAAGGGGGGTATCAAAAACGCTCCCGCCACCAGTATTGCTAAGGCAAACGGGGAGGTAACTTCCCCGCCCACGGAGGAGGCTGGTGCTCGTGCCAAGCTGGGTGGTGAACACGGACGGAGTGCGGGTTTGTTGGGGCTCGCGAACGGTGCGCGGCCTACGGTAAACAAAGGAGACAGCGCGAGAGTAGGGCGGGTTGGAGGTGTCAAGCCGGCAACACGAAGGGTTTTAGGTGTAGATGGGAGAAGCACGGGCGGCGCGGAAAAGCCAGCAAGCCGCAACGTGTTCGAGATGAGTGATGAGGATGAGTCTGACTGAAAATGTTTTGTAACCTGGCCTAAATACTGCCGTACGCTGGATACCGGCGAGGCTGGTTGAGTAATGCTCTCTTTGCTGCGACATTAGTGAGTAACAGCACAATCAGTGTACAGCAGCTAATTTTTTGGCAAGTATTTGTGATGGGTGATAATGATTTTAGTTCGGGTGCTACTTCTGCTGTGGAATCGCGTGTTTCTTGCTTGTGAACAAATAGTTTTGCGAGACGTATTGTACCTGTACAAACTACACGGTTGTTCCAGATGTTTCTGATAAGTGTACAGCAGTCGAGCAGTCAGTGCGGCACTCCCTGTGGCGTGTTTTAGCCAGAGCAGTGTTTTCGCATTTTCCACGAGCCAACTTTGGGCAAGGGTTTTGTGGCGTTCATGACGGGGCCTATTTCGAGGCTCTAAGCAGCTGTGTTCCGTACGCCAACTTGGCTGAAAAAATTAATTACAACTTTGTTTCCGCCTCCATGCTCTCGTCGTCCTTGTCGGAGCGAGACCTGCCGTTTCCAGTCGGATTTACCTCAAGCGCATTGCTATTGGCGTCCTCCTTTCGCTCTGGCGCAGCCATTATCTTTGGTGACAGGTTCGCGAGCAGCTGTTGCAACGTTCGGTGGGATCCGTGCACTCGTGATTGTTTGGAGGCCTTCCTCACTGCAGCGAAGACAAACATATGTGCACCCCACGGCAACTAGCACTCTGCGTCTCTACAGATCTCCGAGGGGCACTATTACACTCTTTTGTCGCTTCCCGACGACCCTTTTTTTTATTTCTGGCGGTTATCTACCGTTCACCTCCTCGATTGCCGCAATCTTTCGTGGTATTCAACCGAACTCGCTGTCCTCTGCACGAGTGAAAGATCTCGCCGCTCTGCATATTTCCTCATCATACAAAACCCTCACTAGGGTGGCACTCGCTTGTCATACAACACACACCTGTTCACATGCCCCATCCCACCCTGGAAAACAAGCACGTACCTCAAAAGTAGGAAAGTGCAATTTACGTGGAAGCTTATCTTGGGGACGAAGTTACATCGAATTTACACCAAAATTGACAGCCGTGCGCAGTCGTCAGTCGTGCGAGAGGTCAACAAAATCATATTCCGCCAAGGCAGATTGATTTGACCTCCATAAACTCATCCATTCCCATCACGGAACCTTCCCTGCCCATCCCGCTCTCCTTTACCCCCCCGAAAGGGACCACGCAGCTCGAGATGGAGCTTTCGTTCATTCCGACCTGCAACGACAATCGTTTACACAGCAGTTGGTAGCAGATGTGGTTCAGAGTTGGCATTAGATGGACAATGTTTGTTTTCAAAAGGGCGCAGGTGATGGTACGCGGAGTAGGGCACCTCGAGAAACAGACACAACGCCAGCCTATCTCGCGGAGGGATCTACAGCTGCCATGCACGAGGCCAGCTCGCCAGCTCGGGCACTGATTCGTTGACGCAGCACGTACCATTCCGACTTCAAGTCTTCCCGCGAATCGCATCCCCCTGGAGTAGTCCTGCGTGTACACGTACCCGGCCAATCCGCTACGCGAGCTGCGGGAGGTTTGGGAACGGACACACGTATGTCGGGGTCAGCGGCAGTTGGCATTCATGCCAGGTGGGGGCATCTACGAGGTCGACACTCTACAACGCTGGCTTGGTGCTCGCACATCTTGCAAGCGATGTTGGTATTCTGCAACATACTCTGTGGCCGTCGCTTGTTCGTGGTGTGCCAGGGATTGCCATCAAATCACACGTGGCATCAATCGAGCCTTATGCAGACTACATGCTACACATGATATCGATCGAGCCTTGCATAGGCTACACTACTATTGCCTCGCCCGCCAACCCTCGATGGGCAAGTCGTGATTGATCCTTGGAACTGTCTACTTGACTCGTAAAATGCCTACACGCTAAAAACAACTGCCGTCGCACTGCTCATCTTGAATCTCTGTGCCCCGTGCCTGCTGTCGTAATCTGCCGGAAAAGCTGTTCACTCCCATACTCAAAAAAGGCATTTGTCGCCGCAACCCTCGTTACGCTCCAACCAGTTGGAAAAGCTCCAAACAAAAAATGCCAGCGGTTCGTCGTGGCTTTTTCCCGGTGGTTGTACCGCCTTGTTCCAACTGGAACATCACACAGACGACCTCGAGGCTCTTTGAGGCTCGCCGCGAACCCTTGGAGGTAGAGAGCGAGAGTGAAGGACAGACCAGACACAGAGAAATATAGAGTCTAGGCACACAATACCTGTTGGATATGGCGAGGGCCTCATCCGCGTCTTTGAACTTCATGACGGCCACCACGGGCCCGAATATCTCCTCTTGGCTGATGCGCATGTCCAGCGTGCAGCCACCTAGCAGCGTCGGTGCGAAGAAGTTGTTCCCCATTTCATGCTGCTCGAGCTGCCCCCCGCAGACAACCTCTGCTCCTTTGTCGACGGCGTCCTTCACCAAGCCTGCCACCTGCAATGATCGCAAACACCGCCACGACTGTCGGTTAGCCTCTAGCGGGGTTGCGGTGATGTCAGGAACATCCGTTCGGGCTTGACATGCGCCTGCGGGGGGTTAACGGCGATGGCTGAGAACTGCAGCCGGGTGAGCAGTCTTCCACTGCTGTCGTAAGATTTCCTCCTCAACAAGAACCACAAGGGGATCCCGTGGGCAGCAAAAAGTGGTCCAGGGAATCAACCTTGACTGTCGCGCATCTGGAGTAGGCCGTTCGACAACAACGACAAAGCGAAACCAACCCCATGAACAGGTCGGGTCGACACCAGGCCTCTCGACCGTGCACGAAAACGAAAGCAAAGCACGCGGAAGAATTCCCACAAACGTCCGTTCCTTGCCTAGGGTGCCTTCTGTCATGCTTGTCCCCCCTCACGCAAACCTCATGTTTCTTGTCTGATACTCATGTCGATCCTACCTTGTCTCTCGCCGCGAGGTTGATCAGGGGCCCCATGTTGGTGCGAGAGTCGAGTCCGTCTCCGACGCGAAGAGCCCTGATCCGCTCCGCCATCTTAGCGACGAAAGCTTCGTAGATTCCCTCCTGCACCAGAAACCTGTTTGGGGCTATACAAACCTTTCGGCAAACAGTGGGGAGAGGAGAGGAGAGGCGAGGCGACGGGATGCACCACAGATTCGGATTGGTCGCAAAGAAAGGTAGAACTGCTGACTAACGCTATCTGCTGAATGACGATTGTGGGTCGGTTGCGAAGACTTTAGATCTTTGTCATATGCATACGGTGTTTCCATAAACAAAGTACGCTCTTGTCACCACCACTCTCCTTCAGTCACTTTCCACGCCAGCTGCTAAATGTCGATTCTCTCATGCTCCCCTTACCACCGTGGATCTGTTTTTTGCCCCTCAGCCTCACTTGCTGCTACAAACAACCTGCCTGAGATGTTACCGACCTGGGAAGTTGCTTTCACCCTGCAAAAACTCTACGCCAACGAACCCATTAGACTGGGGTTCCGAGCTGGTAAAAAAATAATACAGTTGTTGAACTCTGGGGATGAGCTTGGTGGGCGACCTAGTCCCTAGTGGTAAAGCTCCAAAAGAACTGACCTGGCCTCCGAATCGGAACTTCGCCGTCATTGCACCGTTTACAGCCAGCTCAAGGTTGGCGTCATCGAAGACCTGCGCACGCAACGGACACGTGGAGGGCGCCATTAGGAGGAGAACCTCCGTACCCTCGCTGTTTAGTGAGCAATAACGAAAACTTCTCTCGTGGAGTTGCAAAGGTTTCATGCTCCCCTTCCACTACTTCGTACTGCAGTCCGAAAGTGCCTAAAGACACAGAAAAGTACACCACAATATGCTGTATCGAGGTACGCGCCATGGCTCAGGCTTGCTCCAAAACACATTTTGAAAGCTTGGTAGGAAGAACGATGTTGCCTCCATTCCCACAGGTGGTCCGTGGCATAGTTTCGCCGTCACTCCCTCACTCATTGCACCGCCACCTGGGGCTTTTTGCGGGAAAAGAAAGCAACCGGTGAAAAAACACGTGTTGTGTACGCACGCTCTCACCACGAAGGGCGCGTTGCCCCCCAGCTCCATGGACGTTTTCTTGACCGTGCCCGCGGCCTGCTTCAGCAGGTGCTTTCCCACCGCGGTGGATCCCGTGAAGGAGATCTTCCTGACGGCTTCGTCGGTCGTGAGAACGTTGCCGACCTCCTCCACCAGCTCCCGCGGGGTGGGCACGACGTTCACCACTCCCTTGGGCCCCCCGGCTCGTTCCCACAGCCAAGCCAGGGCAAGCGCGGTAAGGGGGGTGTCTTCCGCTGCATGATATATACGGAAAACCGGAAGAAGGGTTGGGAGTACACGATGGGTATGGAACAGCGCGAGAGACAAATAATGTTGTCTGTGCAACGTGGCGAGTTTTGCGTGTTGACCAAGAGTAGACATCTCGCTGTCGCGCACTTCCTATCCCTGTTCTCAAGTCTGGGTACTTGAAGGCAGCGAGAACGGAGATGATAATGGCTTGTGAGACAGCAACAATAACGACGACGACACGTGTTTAACATCAGTCCTTCCCCAACACAAGCGCAAATTGACCCGACTTTGCAGAACGTACTCTACACCACCTAACCTGGCTTGAGGACGATGGTGCACCCCGCCATGAGAGCTGGAGCCGCCTTCCGAGTAAACATCGCAGCCGGGAAGTTCCACGGAGTAAGCAAGGCGCACACGCCAACAGGCTTCATGAGGGGTGGCGACGGCGCATGTTTTGCGGAGAAGGAAGCAACACGGAACGAAGGAGGAATGGCAGATCGCGTTAAAATTTTTTTAACATGAAAAAGTAGCGAGCGCTCCACGAGCACACGAACAACCGTTTTGAATATCAATATCCTTGCACAGACAGCGATGTATTGGAGCAGCAGCAGCAGCAGCAGTCCACTCCGTATCCGTCAACCTCTCTGGAACAGAGCAACTGCTGCTGCTGCTGTGAGAAACATGCATTCCATGTTGTCGCTCGGGCTATGCACTCGCCACCCACCTCCTTCGTGACCATGAGGAGATGACTGTCGGTCTGCTGCGGTAGGACCATCCCGTTCGTCTGCATCCCCGCGTACATGTTTATGAACGACATGGCGTAGTTCACTTCTCCCTTTGATTCTGCCTTCGGTTTTCCGCTCTCGAGACACATGATGGTGGCCAAGTCGTTCGAATTTTCGCCGATCAACTCAGACCAGCGAGATAGCAACCTCCCCCGCTCCTAGTCGTTCAGGGCAACGCGAGGAAATGCAGTAGAAGCGCGGACAAGTCATATGAGAGATCAAAGAGAAAGTAGCTTGAAGGTGCACAAAGGTCTTACGTACGAGGGCAACAGGCTGTACAACAAGGCACGTCGGGCTACTATATAATACAGCACTCCAAGCGAGTCCAGTATCCAGCGAGTGTCCCTCAACCCTCGCTGCTGAGAACACTGCAACACATCCCTTGGAACGGACAATATTCCTTGGTGTTGTGTATTCTTCAAAATAGAGGTAGCGGCTGAACAAATACACAAGGAGATGGGCTGCCGGAAACGGATGGGGTTGATTGGCGGACAAACACAAGATCGGGCGAATCAACAGACCGCACCTTCTTGGTTCTGGGTTTGCGCACGTATCATGTCGTACTGCACGCCTGCAAAAGTCTCTTCCAGTGCAAAGCTGTAATGCTGTGCTTGATCAACACCCTCCGACATCAATGACCTTATCGTATGGCAATCGATGCCCCCAAACGACAGCCAGATTTGAAGGTGGATCAGCACGGCGCCCTATTAACCGCTGTCCGTTGCGTTGGGGATTGAACGTAGACTACATGCGACCAATGAGCACCCTGCGGATATTCTCTGCCTTTCGCAACGTTTGGCACAGACAGACAATAGGAGCTGCCGAGGGGTCGATCCCCCATACTTCCCTCGCACTAGGGCATCACCTGCATAGTCTTGGAGCGCCAAGCGTCGAAGCTCTGCTCTGCCGCCGAGACAGCTAGCTTTGCATCAGCCTCGCCGAAGGCAGACACAGATGCAACCTTGGTGTCCGTTCCTGGATCGTTCACTGGAAACAGTCTGCCTGAAGCGGCCTTCACCCATTTCCCGTTGATTAGTCCGTCCGAGCGGAGCAACCCCGTCTCGGTAAGCGTTGCCGCCAGCGATGTCCTCAGGTTCTGCTGCATAGCTACCATTTTTCGAGTCTGTGTGTGTTCGGGGGGGGGGGACACAGAGCTGGGGATCAGAGCGTCTCGTTCGCCAAGCGGCCGAATTAACAGAAGCGGTGATCCCCACCCACAATCACCGAGGCGCGTACCCCCCCCCTTCGTTGCTGTTGGTTGCTGCATGTTGCTGTGGTTTCTTGTGCTCCACCTGCCCCTGCCCGTCAACACACAGCATAGCTCGCCTCCAGCCATGTCCGTTACCCTGGAAACGTCGCTGGGTGACATCAAGATTGAGGTCTTCTGCGATACAGTTCCCCGAACAGCGGAGAACTTCCTCGCCCACTGCGCCAGGTACGGGAACGCACAGGGAGTAATTTCACGACTTCCGTTCGTTACAGCAGTACTGCACCAAGCTGCCCTCACTCCTAGGATCGGTGTGCGTGGAGCGTGGAGTATTCTACTCTTGTACAAGATTCTGTGTGTATTGTAACGCGGTGCATGTATGTTAATTCATTTAATTTATTTCACAAGGTCCAACCCTGATTGCTCGCAGAAATATGATGTTGCACTGCACTCAGTTTGAAGTCGGCCAACAGCACCAACACGATGCTCGTGTACTTCTTACAGCAGATGTGCCCACGAAGGCCAGCACAAAATGCACGGCCCCCGAACATGTTCAGTACACTTCGACCACCGCCTGTGTTGTCTTGTGACCCAGGTGGCTAGCAACCCTTTCTGGCCCATGTCAAAAGTCTTGACCTTCCCTCCTCAGAGCCGGAGCGAAAAAAGTAGCTTCGCGGTTTAGATTCCAGTCCACCGCTGCCGGTGCCGTAGCTTCGAGTTCGAGCGTCCAGCCCACCACCTACGGTGTAGTCTCCTCGATACCCAGCTTCCCGCCCATCGACAGCGGTTATTCCTTCAGAAAACAGGAGCGGAATTACCTTCACGGTCGAGATTCCAGCCTACCACCGACGGTGTAGACTCTTCGATGTCCGGCTTCCGGCCCATCGGCAACTGCTGTTCACTGAACTGTTGCCGATGGGCGGGAAGCCGGACGTCAAAGGTACTTTCTCGTCGGTGTGGTGTGGTGGAAGCTTATGCTCGAACCTACATGCATACGACACCGGCAGCGGGCGACTGGAATCGGAACCCCAAAGCCTGTTTCGCTCCGGTATTCTGAAGGAAGTGAAGGAGGCTGGCTGGGGACGCGCGAGCAGGCCTGTTACAACCTACACTGGGCTGGGAAGGTTTCGGGGGAAGACTCTCACTCGGGGGAGGAAACGTTTCCGTTGATCTATTAGGCGTGTACTTTGTAGCAAAGAGAAGATCCCACGCCGGAGAAGGCAAGACCAATGAACCAGCCCTCTCCCCGTCGTTCGGAACGTGCAGCGGCTACTACGATGGGACCAAGTTCCATCGAAATATCAAGGGGTTCATGGTCCAGGGTGGGGATCCTCTGGGCACGGGCAAGGGCGGGGAGAGCATCTGGGGCGGGCCGTTCCCGGACGAGTTCCACCCGGACAACAAGCACGATCGAAGGGGGATGGTGAGAGGGCTGGCGTCTTACTTGATGCTGCTGTTCAGAAGTTAAGCAATGATATTTAGTCCACGAGGCCTGCTCTGGGTGTGTACAGCACGGTGCTTTATTTTTTCACCAGGTCAAAATCGCTTGGTCCTGCAGGTAAACGTAGTTTTCAAAAAGCAGAATCATGGCTGTTGGCGAAGCCGACTTGTTCTACGCACGCCGTACCACACGAGCAACAGCTTTTCAGGCACGTTTTACAATCGGGTAGTTCGATTATTTCGGCCGAACCCCATCACGGCGTACACCGTGCTTCTACCAAGGGCTGCACCCTTGAGCAGGTACAAAATATATTCCGCTCACGATGACAGCCCGTCTACCGGATGTGACTTGAGTTGTCTCAGGCTACTGACAGCCCCATCTTCCTCAGCTGGACATGGCTTCTGTCTCACTTGACTCACCGTTTCGTTTTTATGCTGTTCTGAAACGTACGCAGGTATCGATGGCAAGCAAGGGACCCAACACCAACAAGAGCCAGTTCTTCATCACCTACACAAGGCAACCACATCTCAACAACGTCTACACCGTGTTCGGAAAGGTGTGGGGTCGGAAAAGTAAGCGTTTCAGAGCGTTCAGAGACCCCAAGCGCCATGTTTGACTTTCGGTTGTGTGGACTGGAAAGGGAGTAGAAGCTCTGGAATATGAGCGGCAGTACGCTGTTTTTGTTGAGATTTGGTGAGGAAACTAGATCTAGGCCGTGTAGAAATCGAAGAGATATCGATGAGAAATCGGGTAGAATGATATTCGTCTGTTTCCGGCACAAGAGGTCATGCACGTTCATCCTTTGGCAGGCCTCCTCTTCATACCCTTGCAGCAGTTTGGAATATGTAGGTTATCACAAGCACATGTGCGCCGTGGTGAAGTTGCGTGGCCAGCGCTTGTTCACGGCGGCTAACAGTTGCCTCCCTGCAGTACCCGCCTGTGGACCCTGCCTTTGCCCTCTTTGCGCTGTGTTTCTGCTGCAGGTTATCGACGGACTGGATGTGCTGGATGTGATCGAAAAAGCGCCCGTGGGGAAAAAAGAGAGACCCTTGACCGACATTATCATCAAGCACGTCACTATACATGCCAATCCTATCGCAGAGAAGTGACGCAGCTCCTCTCCGTGCAAATAATTAGAGCCGCAGTTGTTTGAAGCCGTTTTCGTTGTTATTCTATGTGGGAATGTATAATTCTAGTGTGTGAGAAGTTTGTCGTGGTGTGGCAAGGAGGTGGCGTTTTCGTCCTGTTTTATAATTTCAGGGTTGTCGACTGTTTCTTGGCGGTTGGTTGTGAGTTTTATGTACCCTTTAGTGTGTACCTGAATGGAATGCGTGGGTGGAGCTGCAACGGCACAAAAAAATAAAACCGTTGCCATGAGAGTCTTCGGGCGACGTTCAAGTGGTCACGAGATATGTTGAGCCCTCGGCCGCACAAATGCAAGGCAACAAAATGAATTTTCTCACCAGCCTTTACGGCAAACCGATCAGCCATTACGAGGGGAAAACGAACAATTAACTCTATCAGCAATGGCAACGATGTTGCGGTGCAACCTACGACGGGAGGCCACAAATAGTCTATGGACGAAAAACACCATGTAAACCGTCCCTGTCCCACATAAAACCACAATCACGCATCTTTCCATAGACTAGGTGGATACAGACGTTAACGACAAGAGCGTTTTCACCGATATCGCAGCAAAGGTCACGCCTACCCCTCCAAATACGCCTGCCAAGACTTTCTCCATCGTCCTCTGCGATAAACGGCCCTGCATCTTTGGAGCCAGCTGTCCCCCGATAACAACGCCCGGCACGATAAAGGCGATCAGATTCCACGGTACGTCCTCGCCCCCTCGAGACAAGATTCCGCCAATCTGAGTCCCGGCCGCCACTGCTTCCGTGCAAATACCACGCGCCGTCGACACGTTGAGGTGGCAGGGTTGGGCAGGGTTCATGCAAGAGATATCTAGGGGCGCGAGATGAGACTGGGTGAAGTCGATGCCTGAAAGGTGCTAGTGGGTGCACTGAGGTCAGGTGCAAGGTGCAACAAACACCTTGGTGGGCGTAAGTCTACCGGGACAAAGGCAAGGCGCACCGACGACAGGTGGCATGAACTACCGTAGGAGTAGGAGGTGGAAGCTGTACTAGGCCCCATGCTGAAGACGTGACGGGATTGCGAGATAAGTTGCTACACTCGTACGGAACATGGAATACGGAGAAATCGTGCCGTGCACGCGAGCGACAGCTTCCGTGCCTCTCGTCACTCACCTACGGCGTTGAGGAACACCACCAATATGGACGTCCCCGCTGCAACAGGTAGGGGCACTCCGTTCTTCTTCACCAACTGCGGTATAACGACCTCCCCAATCCCCACACCCAACATCCCGGTCATGAGGCCCCCGAAGGCTGTCGACAACCCGCTCCCTGCCCCGAAATCCGGTTTCTGTTCGCACAAAGGCCAGTTCCATCGCGAAGCAGCGGCCACGAGAAAATTGGGTGATAAGAGTGCCATCTGTGACCTGACAGACAGACATTCGTTGCTACTTGGCAGTGACACCGCATGTTTGCAATTGTCGTTGCATGTAGTACACCACAAGCAAGCGCGCATGTCATGGCAGCACCCCCCCCCCCCCCCCCCCCCCCCCCCCCCCCCCCCCCCCNCCCCCCCCCCCCCCCTCTCTCTCTCCCTCTCTCCCTCTCTCTCTATATGTATTTCCTCCTCCAATCACCGTTTGCGTAAAATGATACCCGCGAGCGGATGTACTGGCCGCGATAGCGCAGATGCGGCGGGTTTCGTCGTTGCACACCATGCACAGGACGAGACCGCTGACAACCATTGAGCGTCCCCACGACAGGATACCATTCTACTACCCAGCCAACAACAGGACACTTGTGTCATCGGCCCCATAACCTGGGCCGAAGGGTACAGGCAGTGGAAGTCAAGACCCTCAAGGTCATATTATTGCTGAGCGGTGCTTACCCTTGCAAATTTCATGCTTCAAAGAGTAAGTACACACCGTTTGCCTCCTTATCCTCTTGACAACCCTAATCCGCAAGAAACAGTCCACAGGCCCAGTATTTGATCGTGTCCTCCAAACACGTTCAGGAAATGCTGCTCCATGTTGATGTAGATAGATTTCGATCCATGTAAATGTATCGTCCATCCCTTCCAAGGGATAATTCGCGAGTTGATTTCCCGCGAAAGTGAGTTTTATTTTTGCTGTTTTATTTAGGCCATTGACCTCGCATCCCTACAAAGCCGGGACGGAGCACGCCAGGTTCTCACCGGACCAGGCTCTCACATCAGCAAGCGGAGCGCCGTGACGTATTCGGCGAGTCGCATGAAGGGTGCGCTGCATCCTGCTGAGGGTGTTCGGCATCTTGTGCTTACTCCCTTGCGTACGGATGACAGCTGCGTGTGACTTAATTTATTTTCTGGTGCTTTCACTTCCAGGGACAGTTAAACGCACTGTGTAAATATTAAATATTCAAAGGTATTGGGGGGATCTTCCCATCTTTCCACGAAAAAAAATAAATCCGGAGGAAAAACTTCCGGAGGTGTTCTATGTGGTTAACACATACATTAAATAGCCTACGGTGGTCCACACACTGCGGGCCACAATGTCAGGCAACGAGAAAGCGCGCAACAGCGAGCCTACGCGGATGCACGAAAGCAACAGATTGCGCACCAGCTTGCCTGTGGAAACTTCACTTGGAGTTTCATACTACACAGCTAAATATTGAGAACACTCAATACCAGCAACAACAACAACCGACAACAGACAGGCTGCGGGAACACACAGCAGTTCCGTGACCTCCTCCCCCGGGGGGAAAGGAAACACGAGCGAAACATAGCCCCCCGGGGCGATCTCGAGGTTTCGGCGGCGCACCGGATATATATATATATATATTTAAGGGGGGGAAAGTCTCTCTTTTGATGGGGGCTTCGTCCACGTCTGTAGACTACTCGAGTGCCGGACTCTCGCAAGCTAGTTGTGCGGTACGGTGAATTGAAATGCAAGCGCTCGGCAAAGTGATGCCTGCTGCTTGTTCCACGGCACCAAGACACAAACCATGGCATACGGTAGTCCTCAACATCGACCCGCCCTTCACGACGTTCTTATCCTCCTTCCTCTCCGCCCATCGTTGTGCCTACCTGCTCCTCAAACAACATAACTCCATGCCCCACCCATACCTACGCTAGAACGACAACAGCTACGTCGCTCACCCTGTAAATGTACTCCGTACCCTCCGACGTGCAAATCGCCTTCATGTCTCCGCTCTCCAGTTCCTCCACGGAGCACTCCTCCGGGACTAAGGACTCAGACCTGACCCGCACCATGGAAGAGATACGAGAGGGCAGCATCAGGACACAAATTCCGTGAGCCGACCCCATTGTAAACCACGCCCACCCCCGGGTGCACGCAATGATCGCTGTAATGTAAACAAGACCACGAGGGAGGCCAAGGGAGAGAAAAGGTGGACGTGGGATCGCCGCGGGATGCAGTAGGGCGAGTACGGAGGAGGTGAAAAAAAAGCATGCAAGACGTTGAAGAACCCACGATTTATGTGTTGGGTTAGCATGCTAACCGGATTAACCCCCTGAAAAATGTGCCCGACTGGCAACATCCACAGCGCTTGCGGCGCACAATTGAGCCCCCCCTCCACAACACATGCCTGATTGTCGTCTCAACACCAACTGTGGCACAAGACGGCAGGGCACTCTACACGTTGTAAATATCTCGTGGACACAGCTACAACGCAAGAAGCAAATGTGCTAACCAAAAATCAACCCATTCGTGCTTACAAGCAGGCACAACGCCCCACTTGCTCGGTTAGGTTTTTCACCCTTGCTCATCCAGCAACAGGTAGGCGCTCAGCCCCAGCATGAACACGGCATAGATGGCCTTGAGCACTCGCTCGTCGGCGTATGGTACGACCAGAGCCCCCAGGAGGCACGACGGGATGGACGCCAGGATGAAAGGCAGGGCGGAACCTGGGTCGATAAGGCCTCGCCGAAAGTAGCCCAGCAAACCTGTCCGCAAGCACCCGAGCAGCACTGGGGTCACGTATGATTCGAAATATGCAGCTAGCTGTACGGACAGGTTGCCTCTTTCAGTGGCATCGGTTGAAGCAATGAATCTGGCATTCTTCAACTGATATCGGGAAACTGACATCGGGAAAACCTTTGCTGTTTGTTATTCCTTGCTTCTAGAGAAAAACACTGACAAGGTTTTGCCTTTCACGAGCGAAAAACCGCCGAAACTTGACAAGAACCATCGGAAAGGTTGGAACACCACAGCAAGCGTTAACTTCTACATGGACACGTTTATATTTTCGCTGTTGGGCTTGTTTTGGGGTCGGGACCAGAAGCCGAGGGCGGGTTTAGGATTGCCGTTTATCTTCTGTGGTGTACGTCGGGTCAAAAATAACACCACAAAGTCAAGACTGAACATACACCACGGTGAAGGAATCAACACATGCCTGGCTGTCATGAGCCAGGGTGCGGATTCGACTGTGTTGTGGACGATTTCCTAATGATAACGCCATAGCGTGATCTCGTTGCTTGCTGCCCAAGCTCGGAAATCATGGCGAGGCCGTTAGAAAAGGGGGGGAGGGGAGCCACATGTCACACATCGACCTAGATGTAATGATTTCGAACCGCATGCGTGATGTGTAGCCAATACCTCCGTTTACGAATGTTTGCTTCTCCTTCTCACCTGACGAAAACCCGAACGCTTCACACAGTATCGCGGTCGCCACGCTTGCCGCCACCGAGTGCAGGGGATAATCTGGGCCCAAAAGCGGGAAACCCAACAGAAACACCGGGGCCGTAAGAGCTGCGCCACCGATCCCGGCCGTTTGGGCGCACGTCGCAACTAAGATGCCCACCGGAAACATGAAAGCATACCGCGTCCATTCCGGGTTGGCGGCGAGAGCGCTTGCCGGATCCGCCAACACATGGGATATTGTCGCGGAAATCTGGAGCCCCGCTCCCGCTCCCACTTCTGCTCCCACTGCTGGCGTTACAAAAACGAAAGGCTTTTTGGGATTACCGGCTAGGCGATGGCACTACTGACCAGCGCTGACGAGGATGCCACGGGGTTTGACTCAAGGCCCGACTGCAGCTCTGTGGGCATATGCGTACTTACAGCAGAAATGCGGGCCCGCAGTTGGGAATATTTTGTTGAGAAACAGAGGCTCACACTGTCACGTTGTCGCAAAGGATAAGAAAATTGGGTTAAGAAGCACACCTCAGTGGTGTATCCTCATACTATTAAACTCCAGATAACAACGTGAGGTACCCTATGCTCAACAGTGACCACGAAGTAAAAAAAACTGAGTCTCGACCTGATCTTGACGTTTCTTATCTCCGGGCCCATACTGCTGCTGTGTTGTACCGCAACAGAGAGCACGACCGGCATCAGATCATGCTTTACATATACTTGCAGGAAGGTCGACTTAACGTGACACATTTCTTACTTCTAGTATGGGGAAAAAAAAAAACGTAGCTCTTTATTTTTTTTGGCTACAGAGCAGTATGGACCAGACACCGGAGAAGGTTCACTTTCAGTCACGCGCAACCGCATGATGAAAGCCGACACGCGTGGCACATGAATGACAGCATAGAATAGACGCGCAGCACGGGTCGGCCGTATTTGCAGACCTACCGCAAGCGAGCTAGGGTTTAAGCGCAGCTTTGGATGCACGTGTACGCATATCGACAGCGGAACCACGCTTGACACAGCACTCGGCAGTACGCGACAGCAACGTTTTCCTTTTCGCGTAGTAACTCTACGCATGACACGAGACAAAGCACTCTACTGCAGTCTGGTGCGTGTTCCTATCCATTACAACGAAAGCAGACGTAGTTGCGGCCGCTGTCGTGCGCCCAGCGCACCAATCTGGAAACTACTCCTGAGCACCCGCCCTTACAGTCTTCTTCAAGTTTTATCACTTTACATACATGCGTGAGATTGACGGCTGCACCACAGTGCTCAGTATGGAGTAGGTGTTGGGACATCCCGCACGGCGATTGACAGGTCCGACTTAAAGATTGATTGAGCTGGTTGCTCTTTTTTCCCCTATTTTCCGCATGTCCATGTCCACAGCGTTTGTCTAGAGCTCCTTACGTTGTTCGTTTGTGTGCATGTATATCCATCAGAGATATTCCACAGTCTTCACTACTCGTATACTGTAACTGCTCCGTGTACTGTTTGTATTATAGTGCTTCTTTTTCGGTTCTCGGGTCACTTCTATTTGTTCTTCCAACAGCAAGTTGCTACGTTACTATCGTCACAAAGCTTGCACGAAATAAGTAGATGGATCGACTGTTGCCGCACCGAATGAAGGATGTGGATTGGTGACGCGCGTCTTGGTTGTATGGGACAGCAAATGCTTTGGAGACGAAGTTTTTTGCATGATTAGACTGTAAGTCTGCCCACGAAATGAAGTGGTCGAGAGGTGGTCCCGAACTACTGTACTTAGAGAAACAACATGTAGTCAATGGTTGACAGCATCGACCATAGCCGTGCAGCACACGTCGGCCGTTCTCGCAGACCTACTCGACATCTGTCACACCTTATGCCCCCCCCACGGTCTGACCGCTAAGGCATGCAAAACAGAAGAGTACGCCCCCCTCACCCCCCCATCGGTGTTTGCCATCGTGATTGGGTTTTTGTCGCTTGGCAACGACGTTGTAAAACAAACCAATTCACTTCGTGAACTCGGCAACCAGGTGACCATTTTTTTTTTTACCTCTGTTTTTTTTATCTTTGGCGGTAACCATAATGGCGGTGGAGTAGATCATGTTGTGCGGGGTCGAGAAGCCTCACTCCGCGCAAGGGGGATGATCGCACCACGTTGTGATTAATTGGCCAAGCACCCTCGAGGTAGTTACACAGTGCTTACAACTGTCTCTGGAAACGAAAGCACCGGAAAATAAATTAAGTCACACGCAGCTGTCATCCGTACGCAAGGAAGTAAGCACAAGATGCCGAACACCCTTTGCGGGATGCAGCGCACCCTTCATGCGACTCGCCGAATATCTCACGGCGCTTCGCGCTTGGTGATGTGAGAGCCTGGTCCGGTGAGAACTCGGCGTGCTCCGTCCCGGCTTTGTAGGGATGCGAGGTCAATGGTCTAACGACTACGGCATGCACGACTATGAGTACACCCCCCCGCCCCCGCCCCCCCCCCACCCACTGGGATCGCGGGGGGCGATGCTTCACCCTCCTGTGCCCTCTCGCTCTTCGTGAACGTCTTCACGTGTTCACGTCTTCATTGCGTCTCCATACACCGTCCCTTCTTGCTACTTCTATCGTGTCGTCTTCATTCTTGTTATTCCGAACTTCCTCTCAAACCCTCACCGTCATCCATCCCGGTGTGGCCGCCCGTCCCTTTGGGGGGCGGGGGGCCAATCCATAACCCCAGTTATTATTGATTGTCACCCTTTGTACAAACCGTCGCCCGCAGTAGCTCACTACACTCTACCGGCTTGTCCCTCTAACTGAAGGGCTACGGTCCGGGATGACACGTAAGAATTTCTCTGTGACGTGCCTACCGTATATATCACCCTTCATCTCGTTTCAAGAGCGTTCGACAGAGGTTTGGACACGAGGCAGGGAAGTTCCCACGAAGTACATCGCACCTACTGCTGTAAAGCAGTGCATCGACGCTGCTGGAGTCGTTGCTGCTTGTAGTGAAACCAAAACACATCTGTGCAGCCTACAGCGTAGTGCCCCCCCCGCGATACTGCATGCCCCGAACCGCCCGTACCCAAACACTCACCTAACACATCGGCTGCTGCACCAGCAGCTCCTGGATGTGACACAATCGCTACAGCAGCGGCTGCTGCTGTTGCTGCTGCTCCAACAACAGCTTTCCCTGCGCTGTACCGTACGTCTTCGGAAGCGAGCACAGCTTCGCTGCTATCGCCGTCTCTTGCCAAGACCCGCGACGGCACTCGAGAGCGGCACCTGCTTGTGCGTTCTACTAAAGCAGCTGCTGTTGTCCTTGCATCGCGCTGGTGCTGCACGCTCGAGGTGACGTGTCTTGCAGAAGAGTTCAACAGAAAAGCTCTGCCGTTAACGGCACTGCAAACAAGGAGCACTCCTCCCAGGCATCTTGTATGGATCATAGCACCCTTCTTTTCCCCTCTCTGCGGTTGAACCTTCTAAAGCCACGCAGAGGTGGCGCTGCCGCAGTAGTACCAGGTACTAGGTGCTGCGGTTGCTGCGGTTCTGCGGTGCTTCTAAAGCGACAGTCGGGGGTTCCGTGGGTATTTTGCGGGAGGATCGGGCAAGCGAAACGGAACCAAGACATGTGTCACGCCGCTGGACGCCCTCCTCTATCCCTCTATCTTCTCTGTCTCTCTCTCTCGTGCGAGAGCTTCAAGCGGTGTGGAGGGCCGAGCGGGGACAATACCCCTCTGCTCCTCGCGGTCACTGATTCCTCATGGCTCTTGCTAGTGATGTGGCTCCTTTACTGTCCAAAGAGAGGGCAGACGAGCCGGGTGGTTTGTGGGCAACGAAGCAATACGGCGACCTGAAGGTAAATATGATGGCATGATGATCGGATCCATGTTGGTGTGCCACTCTTCTGAGTGAACTGCACGAACGAGCCATTGGGATGGTCAACCATGGAGAGCAGCTATTACGGAGCATCGTATGTTTTCCAAAAATTGTATCTGCATCAGTATTGTAGGGACGACGAGTTCGTTGAACGAATGACCGTGATCCGAAAGATTCAATAGCACACGACGCGGGTGAGCGACGACATCCTCTGGACTTTTCTATCCAATCCATCGTTAGGCGACACCTTCTTAGTCGATCTCTGCAACTCGTGTACTGCGGCCCCATCCACATTGCTCGAACCCCAGGAGGGCGACCGTTTGCGCGCGGCAGACTATATAACAGGGAGCGTGGAGGTGCGGCAGCTTAGATCCGTGTACAAGCTTAGCTTCACCGACATTGCCCGTGTCAACCGCTTCAAACCCGCTGAAGCACAAGAAATCGCCATGCCTGGTGACGAAGAGAGTGACGAGAGTGTGGCTGCACTCAGGAGGACCGAAAGAGAGCAGAACGCCAGCGTGAGGCTGTATGTATTCCTCACGAAAAAGAAGGCCAAGACGAGAATGGCGGACTTGGAGGAGACAGCGTTCTTGCTGCGGCTAGAAGTCGGGAAGGAGGGGTGCATCTGCTTCGGCGACACCTTTGGAAACTTTGAACAGGTGCTTGTACGTGCTCGTAAGGCCTATGGACGGACGGACGGCCCTAGATTGGGGCTCGAACTACCGTACTAGACGACAGACAATGACGATAGGGACCTGATGGTGACTTCGAACGTTCAGCGGAGACGTTCCTAACAAGACTGGATGGTGCTCCTGTAACTTTGACTTGTTATCGAAAGTGTTGTTGGCGTTCGTGTCCATTCTAACGATGTCTTGCTGTCAAAGAACGTGAGCTACATCGACAATCGACTTTGCGCCAATCAAGTGTACGAGGATTCCGCTCCCGTGTACCGGCACCCTCTCACCTGCTGCGCAGTAGCAGTATACTTTCGGCGTGCCTCATGACGCGCAATGTTTACTTCACCCCACGCGGCCGGAACACCCCTGGGATCCTTCGCGCAGGGTATGCTCCAGGTTCCCAACCCGACCGGGTACAAGGGCATCGCGATTGCAAAGAGAAAGGCGGACGAACCCAAAACGGATGAACCGATCATTTACGCGTACGCGAGGATAGTCCCGAAAAGAAGGCCCGTCGTGGCTTCGGAGGTTGTTCTCGGACTTGCCGAGGACAAAGATCGTGTCACCAGGTACTGTTGGCGAAATACGGGATGTGTCTGGTATCGCATCACATGTTTGTGGCAAGAACGATAGGATGAAACATAAGCTGCTATATCGCAATAAACTCTGTGTCGACGAGGGGTTTTCGCTACTGCTGCCAGGTACACGAAAGCGGCACCTACTGTCAAGACCGACGACGATTTACTCAAGGGAGTGCGGAAATACACTCGAACGGCGCGAAAGGCGTGGGAAGCAATGTCCATTCCGGAGGATAAAAAAATCGACTTCGAAGGTGAAGAAAATGCACCATGTCTACACACGACGCCAAAACGAAGCCGGCGTTGATTTTGGTGCACTACAAGTTGTGCCTGATGCGCAATACCGTACTCCACCTTTCACCCGAATGTCATATCGGTGAACCATTTCCACAGGTTTCAAACTGGCGTTCGATGAGCTCAACTTAGTTATCATGGAGGGAAGAGCCCTACAGCTCTTCAAGGCCTGCGACTTGAGCGGTACGGGCATGATCGGAGTTTCGGAGCTGGAGGTAGCGCTCATGATGCACGACGTGGTGCCTACGACTTCGCACCTGACCCCATTGGACTCGTTCAACGTCTTCGATCTCGATGGTGGGGGCGATATCTCCTGGGTAGAGTTCAAGGTACGAACAAACGGAGCACTACAAAGCAGGGCCGCCTGTTCCTTTGGCTGTAACGTAAGTAGGACAACAAAAGGGGGTGTGCAGGGCGGTGGAGAAGAGGGGGGTGACGAGGAGGGTGCATTATGGAATTTGTTTGAACTGCGATCGTTGCATGAGAACCTGTCGGAACATACTCCTTCGGTCTTGAAAAAACAACCGCCAACGCTACGCGCTCGCACCATCTTTGTGTACCTCCTTTAGAACACATGCAAGTGATCACTCATGCAACTCGCTCGGAACGGCGCGGTAAGGAGGTACACACAGGAACTCTGTGCCTCACAAGACACAAGAGGTGGTCTGTGGGTACCATTGTCGTAAAGAAAAACTCGGCAGAATGCCTTCAACACAATGCAATCACTTCAAGTCCATCCGTCTGGTTTGCCTTTCCCTGATGCTGCCGCGACCGCCGCATCTGATTGAAAACCCTGATCGGCAGGAAGCTGCCGAGGTCATCGCCGGGGGGAAACTCAACGAGGAGCAGACGAAGGGGCTATTCGACAAGGTCGACACTGACAAGAGCGGGGTGATTGAGTACGAGGAGTTCAAGCAGGTGTGCTGAGCGATATTCGGCGACCATATGGACCAAAAGCGAATCCTGTACAAAAACCAGTTAGGCTTTGGAGTCCCAGGTCGTCGCTAGAGTACATAACGTGTGGACTGTTGATTTGCAAAAATGTTGTTCAGCCCCGAAGCCTAAGAATCTCCTCGTCTCGCCGCTGACATCAAAAGGCCTGGCTAGCTATGGTCAACTTGGAGCAGGAGATCAAGGCAAGGGGTCGCAAACCCGCGTTCGGGCCCATGTCGTCAACTCGCAACAGGCGGATACTGGCCCAAGCCGTCGAGGACGAGGACAGAGCCACGACCGAGGTCTTCAAGGTGAAATAGTTTGGATGTTGCACCTTAATGCAGAGAGTTCTTATCATCCCTTGCAGTTTCCGTACCTCCTACCATTAAGGGGCGAAGGATACGGCTCTCTGTCTGTCTGTCTGTCTGTCTATCTGTCTCCATCTCTCTTTATCTTTCTCCCCCCACTTTCTCCATGCATAGCTATAGAGACTTTATATTCTCGGAGCGTCCGGAATATCCCATCGTCGTGGTAGACTAGTTTGTAGCTGACGATCGTGTTGTGGCCAACCGCAACCGTGCCGTCTGTGGGCAGACTGTCCGCGGAAGAGTCGACAACGTCCGGAGGAGGGCTCGCTTGCTTCGGGACGAGAAGAAGAAGATGAAGGCCACGAAGGGAGGAAAGAACACGCTCGTAGGTGAGCAAATGGTGAGAGGACCGGCGGCGTGAGAGGGCTGCTGCAGAGCCCACCCAAACACGTGTCGACTGAGTCTATTCGAAACTGCGGTGTTCCCTCGTCGGCTCCATCGTGCTCCGCTAGACGCTAGCGAGGACGCGGCGAAGAAAAGGCAGCGGCGGCTCATGATAAAGAGGGAGCAGGCGGAGAGATCACGGCAGCGCCTGGAGCAGAAGGTCAAGCAGAACGAGCTTCAGCAGCAGCTCGCGGCGAAGAAAGACAGGTACAATGGAGCACGAAATAATCCACACGCGCTTTCTTGATGAACCCCAAGCGCACGAGCTTCCGTGGGCGTAACGCTTTCGTGGACACTGCGCCAGGTCGCCACAGTGCTCCATGTTGATGCGGTGCACAACCCGATTGGACGAGGCCTGTGCACCAACTACGCTGTCCACGTTTCACCATGGGTTAATTGCTGTTTCGCGAGGCGACAGTGGTGCTGGCAGAGACGGACCGTGCTTCTAAGCTCTCGATGGAGAACTGATGTTCGTGCGCCACTGTCTGTTGATCGTCAGGGACACGGCCCAGATCAAGCAGCGGGTGGCCCAGCAAGAGAAGGAGCGGATCGCCGGCATAAGAGCTAGAGGAGATGACCAGCTTTGGCTCTCGCACCGGAACCTACGGCAGGTAAAGCTTGAAAACGGCTCTTAGCCGTATCGAAAGCACCGTTTTGTGTACTAAAAGAATGGAACGGGCTCCAATATGATAAAACAACGGTTGCCTGGATTGGAAATCCGGGGCACACAGGATGTCCCTCTCTGCCATCCGAAAGTAGAGCATGTTGCCCTGGCTGCCACAACACGGAGAAGAAAACGTTCACCAGCCCCGTTTTCTCGGCCAAATCCAACACCCACGGACCCACCCACCCACCTCCCGTGTGAATAGAAAGCACCTGTTGTCGCATTTAACGAAGTTCATCCGGGGCCATGGTTCAGCGTGAATGTTCAAGTCCACGAGGAACACTACCGGGTGCTTCTTCTGCGGCTGTACCAAATACGGTCGTGTCAGAGCACACCAGATGAAACTGACGATACAGTACCGACACACGCCCGGCCCCTATGTTTACTTCGTGTTCTCCCGCCAAAGGTCCCATCCGAGTACTACCAAGACCCGGAGTGGCGGGGGAAGTTGGTCGATCTAGTGCTGCTGGACCTTCAGGACAATCGCTTGGCCGACCTGCCACAAAATTTCCTGGCGGAAATGGTGTCTCTGAGAAAGCTCGACATCAGCAAGAACAGGCAAGCAATTCATTAGGTCGGGGGTTGACAGTTGTACCCGTAGCACCATGACAACCTCCACTCCGTCGTGTATGCATTCGATAGCAGCGTACTCGGAGAGTAGAACCCTTTTTTGGCCGCCCTCCCCCTATCACCAATGAGTTACCGGAGTTTACGAAAATTTTTATCTGAGCCATAGGGAACGCGATGCAGAACTACAACCTTGTCGTTCGTGTTTTCTTAGGTGGGCGGTTACTTCTGTTTTCTAGTTCGAAAGCTTGAGGACATGGCACGCCGAGATGGCCATCCTTCTTCTCGGAAAGGGTTAGTCGTGAATCCCGGAGAGGACCTCTTTCGTGGGCAAACAAACCCAGTTTCCTGGGGGGTGTGAGAAATAATTCTTTTTTGGACTTCACTTCGGGGGCTTCCTCCCCCCGGGGGTACTTCCAGTTGTTTGGTGAAGGTCCCCTTGCTCATCCGGTGGGCTAGGTGCACATGTGACGACAAGCACACGCGCTCAAGTGCGACAAGCACACGCGCTCGAGTGCCGACAAGCACACGCGCTTAAGTGCGACAAGCACACGCGCGCAAGTTCAGATAAGCACACGCGGCAGAAAGCAATCTCTGAACTTCGGAAGATCCTCTCCCACCTTCCGGAAAACTCATATGAAGAAAAGAGTACCACATTCGTTACCTCGTGATGATTGCCAAAACCCCGGTCCGTCACTGCAATACATGACGTGCGTTGTTTGCCCCCCCGGGCGGCCTCCATCCCGTTCATCTCAGGCTTTCCTTCATCGCCAACGAGCACCTAGTCAACCTGGATCATCTCCAGGTGCTCGTCCTCTCTCGGAACGAGCTTCGGGAGCTACCACCGGCGCTGGGAAAGTTGACCAAGCTGCAGCACCTTGTTATTTCCAAGTGAGGGGCGCCGGTTCCGAGATGGTACTGGAAGCTTTGCCTGCCGAACAAATTGGGCGATTTCTTGCTGACCTTCACCAAGCAAGACTCTTTCTCCTCGGGAGGCGGGGTTTGCTAGTGAGAATTCGCGTCCTTCCCCCCCCCCCCCCTCCCCTCGTGCTCTACCTGGGATTTTATTGCCTGTGAGGCTATCGATGTCAAGATAAATCTCAAAAAAATATCCTGTGGTACACACAGATCAAATGGAGTAGCGCACGGTTGGTGATATCTCTCACCACCGGGGCTGCGGCGCACAGAAGTACATAAACATTGTCCCCATATTTTACACGGGTTGCTGCCGTGAACGCTGGTAGCGAAGTCGGGTTCGGTCTCATAGGGATTTTCGGTCGGTCTGAGCAAAGTCACGCTGCTCCTTCTGTATAGTGTGTTATGCTCACCGCTGCGTTCGCTACCTCCATGCGTCGCGGAAACTTCTTGTCTCTATTCTGTCGATTCGGAGGAACGAGATAGGCCAGCTACCCGACGAGCTAGGCGGCATGCATGCCCTTCGCTCTCTCCGTGCCCACTCCAACAACTTGGAAACCCTACCAACCTCCGTGGACGGGCTTGTGTCCCTCGAACTGTGCGACCTCAGCAGCAACAGGTGAATGTAACGACCGTGATCCGCTTGTGGATTCCTCGTCTTCAAGCTAAAGGTGACCGCCTGCACTCAGCGCACTTGAAACCTGCGTGGGGTCAGTGTGCTTCGCCGCGGCGCGCGTAACGTCTATGAAGAGCGAGGCTCTTCGTGGGACGGTGTAGATGAAATGCCCCTCCTTGCTCTCCTGGAATGAAAATGCGAACCCTATTATCCTTGCCCACCTAGGTTATTCTATTCTACTTTGCTTCACCTCTGCTATTTACTTACTAAGTGTGTTCTTCTCTCTCGCCGTGCTTGACATTCGTTTGTTTAGGTTACTGACCCTCCCGAACGATTTCTCGTACGCGACGGCGCTGACACGGCTTGACCTGTCGAGCAACCGCTTGCGACACCTCCCCCTCGACTTCGGACTTCTCTTCAGCCTCCAGGTTTGTTAGCAGGTGGTCGCAACGTAACGTTTCGTCTGCCGTACGCACACTCCGTGACCCCCCCCCCACATGCATCACACCCGCTTGAAACCGTCATTTGTCATTTGGGTGGGTCTCGTGCCATAGAGATAAAAATAATTCATCGCAAGACAACCAACTTGTCGATACATACGGAGTACGCGAGGGCTAAGTTCATTTTTTGTTTGCAGCGCCCCAATCCTGACGAGCATGCGGTCGTGCGCCGACGAACACGGCAGAGTCTGGACGTCTCGTGCAACCAGCTCGCCGACTTGCCCACCACGGTGTCCTCCCTCAAAAGCCTGCAGGTGATTTGAACGAACAGACCGCCCGCCCGTTGCCGGCGACATAGCGACAGCTCTGTCCATCTTTTTTTCTAGACAGTGTCGCGGTTCCGCCCTCCCCGAAACGAAGTTGTGAAACGCACATGCCTCGCTGTAGGTTTTGTCCAGTGCTGCGGCGGTTATTTTTATCAATTAGCGATAACAAGAGAGCGTGCAACTGCACATGGCTTCCCTTACCATCGGGGCACCTTTTACTTGTTGGAGTGTCCAGAACCAGATATGTCGCTCTTCTCCATATTTAAGCCCAGTTTGAAGCCCGTGCTGACACGGGAATTTCCCGTCACGTAACGATCGACAGATTCTGAGGATTGGAGAGAATGCCGTGGTCGAATTGGCGGCGGCCTGGGGTGGCATGACCAGCTTGGTCGAGTTGGAGGCACAGGTAGGGCCACGAATCGTGTCAACCGTAGCAAAATATGAGTCTTCTTCAATGGGTGGTGTGCCTCTGTCGCATCTCATACGAGTACCACCATGAGACGCATCAAAGGGAGGCTCGAGGTTACTCCTAATGAACGGCTTTGCGGAGAGAAACGTAGCACGTTTTTAGCGAGGGTGCAGGTCAGGAGAGACTGCTCGTGGCAACCTCAGATGCTTGTGATGAAAATGCCCTGCCAAACGCACCCACTACAAGCCCTACATAACAAGAGTATAGGAACGACCGAAAAAGTAGCGACCCGGACGTGAACACACGCAACTAAAGTACCTAGTTGAAACATCATGTACGTTATGAAGTTCTCTCCCCCTGTCCGGTCTCATCCTGTTCTCCCTCACCGTGGTGTTTGTCTGACCCAGACAAATCGCATCGGGAGGGTCTCCCCGAACATCGGCGAGTTGTTGCAGCTGCAGCGGCTGGACTTGTGTCGGAATGCCATCGAGGAACTGCCCGCGACATTTGGCCTGCTGACCAAGTATGATGTTTGTCACCGGCTGGTTCGAGGCTTGTGCCAGTCCGTGTACATGCAGAGGTTGAAAATAGAACGGACCCTTTCTCTTGATAATACGACGGGTCCACCTGTTTCACCTCTAGCTTCAAGAGACAACGAGAGCGTACTCTTGTGTACCCAAAACGATCGATCGATCGGCATGGAGACGAAAGCGCCCACCAAGAGGACGTCATGCTTATGAAAAACGAACCACCTGTTGGTGTGGGCATGTAACCCCCCTTGCCCCCCCCCCTCACTATCACAGCCCCCTCCCTCCCCCCCGCCCGAGGACGCGTGGTCAATAGTCTAACCGCTAAGGTATGCAAAACATAAGAGTACGCCCCCCCCCCCCCCCCCCCCCCCCCCCCCCCCCCCCCCCCCCCCCCCCCCCCCCCCCCCCCCCCCCCCCCCCCCCCCCCCCCCCCCCCCCCC